CAAGTGGACTAACTACTCGCCAGGGTTCGAACAAACCGCAGCCTCCAGCTCGGATATTAAATGAAGTTTACGACGGGAGACGGGCAAATTTTCTCTGCAAATTTAAAGCAACATCGGTGAAAAGGAGCATGATAACTGGGAGAAAGAATTGGGGGGGATTGCTAAACCGCCGACGGCTGACGCGATGGCTCATACTTATGGTGGCGGAACAATATGTAATTTATAACTAATACTAACATGATATTTTAAATTATAAATGAAAAATTTAAATTGTAATATTATTTCTAAATTATTGAAAACTGTGTCTTTCAAAAGTTTTATTTAATTAATTAATAAACTTATTATTATCATTGTATCTTATAATTTTGTTTACATCCTACAAGGCTAGCGTAATTTATAATACGATACATTAGGGACATCGTGAAACTTTTCAAATAGTAATAATAATGTATTCTGCATGTCTAGCACGTCCACCGATTATAAACTTTGTTGTGCAACTGTATAATAATAAAACACTGGTACAGTCGACCTCCCCTACAGTCACATCCCATATAGTCACACCTCCTATACAGTCACACACTGTTTCGGTCCCAGTCATTTTCATAGTGATTTTCCTCCCCTATAGTCACAACCATATGTGAGTCACTGTCACCCGATTTTGGGAGTCCCACCGCCGTTATAGAACAATATGAAAAATTCCCCCTTTATAGTCACAGGTATTGTGTAACATTCAACATTACTGCATAGTTACGTGTAAATTACATAATTTGGTCGCTTTAAATACTATATGCTTCGAGAAAAAAAAAGTCATCAGCTTCACAATGTCTAAAGCATGCAAGAGTTTATTGCTGCAGCGTGGGACAGTGTTACAATAAATACTATTAAAAACTGCTGGTGCAAGACTGGAATACTCTCATCACCAGTTTGTGAGATTGTTGATGTTGCAAGTCCAGTCTTAAACAGTGAAAGATTTATCGACAGTTTGTCAGATGAACAGCATAGAGTAATAGTTTTAGAAAATTATATACATCAACTCGATGTTCCTGTTCCAACAGAGGAACCATTATCTTTTGAACAAATTGTTGATTTAGTCAATGAAGAAGATATAGAATGTACAAGCAATGACTTTAGTGAAGAAGTATCACCAGTACAATTGAAGGAAGCTCGAATAGGTTTGGAGACTGCTATTAACTTTTTCGAGCAGCAATCAGATAATATAGGTTTTGATATCAAAGACTTGCATATTTTTCGTAAGTATTTGAATTTACTAAATGTCAAAGAGTTTCAATCGAAACAACAGAAAATTGATGCTTACTTTGGAAGTTAAGAAATTATCTCCTGTATTGTCAGTATTTGATATCATTATAATAAGAATAAAATGGGGATAATACTTCAATCACATGACCAGATACAAACCTTCTATACAGTCACACTTCCATACAGTCACCAGTTTTGCCTGGTCCCAACGGTGTGACTGTAGGGGAGGTCGACTGTATTAATATTAATAATAACAATCAAAAAGGATCACACGTGATAATTTTATTTGATAAACAAAGCAAAATTTAATTTATAGAAATAATCACGTGCCCGTAAATTCTTGATGGCGATGTGGGAAAAAGTTTGATAATACATTGCTCCGCTCACAAAGTAATTGACATATCACCAATTCAATCGTCACTCTCACGATGATACTGTGGGCGAGCCAACATGGAGAGGTAATAGTGATTGATCTGTATGATTGGTGGAAGAAAAGGATTAACGTGTGCAAAAGAGAGCATTTGAAGATGTTACAGGAGATTACTAGATTCGTTGTGCGTTTCTCATGTAACGTTATATTTACCGTCGGATCAACTAATATTAATTATCTATGTTTTATCCCCTCTAATTTGTGCAATTATTTCTCAATATTCTCCTCGTTCGACCTTGATAACACGTGGACAGTCAGATGAAATTGAGATTTGAACTTCGTTAATGCCAAATAACGGGTACGAAATCGATAAAAGATTCTTAAAATTTTACATTCATTAATGATTGTTATGATGGAACTGTGTGATTCCACATTTTTGTCGTCTAATAACATAACCTGTTTCCTTAATACATTTAACGTATATTAGCGTGAAATATTGAAATCGAAGACGTCTGTATCTGCCGTCAGTGATGTAAATGTGTACTTATTTACGTTGGATCAACCATGCAATTATACGAGAAACAGATATTCCTGAGTCGGTTGTCTAATCTCTATTTGTGTATTAGGAGGAACGCTTCTTTACAAATGGACTAGCGCTGTTCGCTGGTCCGTACACAAGACTAAGAGTTGATGACGACCGCGTTTATTGACATTTCAATCCAAAAGACATTTTAAGAGACATTTACAATGGCGTCTGATCCTTAGGATTTCAAGTAAGTAACCCGATGCTGAAGACAATCCATATAATCGTTAACATTGTTGCTGCTTGAATTCGCAGATATTATAGCTTGTATAACTGGTTTACTAGATCAATTTATTCAATTCCATTAATCTTCCTTACACTTGGCGTTATTTGGCCCACCAAGTTAATTATCACACGTTCCCATCCTTTCTCCCATGACCGCTCACGACACCAACACAAATTCACTTGGCTGCAAATGACTGTAGATCTACGAATTGTGAAAGCATGCGGAGCAACAGTCAGGCGAACCTCTTGCGAATAAGACAGAAAATTGCCAATTTGTAATATTAATATTACTTGTCGCAAAAAAAAGGTTATTTTGCTGCTGCTGCTTCTTCGAAATATCAAAATTTGGTGGGCGCTATTGGAATAATAAACACAATACCCGACAAGAAAAGCATACAATCACGGTTGATGGCATTCGGCATCCTCCATCATGAATAGTTTGGTGAGTACTTTAAGCTTATCCGATAGATTGGTCGGCAGAGATGTGGTAAGTTTCTCTAATGGATAAACGTATTAGAAAGTAACGGAAATTTTATTTTGACCACCCTTGAAGACGGGACTTTTATTGGATTTGCTGAAGGATATTCATCTATGAAAGTAACACATACTTGTATGTGTCATGACTCAACCGGGAAAGCCTATATCGCGGGCGAGCCTATTAACCCCTATCAACCTATATCAAGCCTTTGCTCAATGAGCGATGTTATTACGAATCACCGGCACCTAATCGTACAATTACATTTGCTCCATCACGATTTAGGGATGGTCTGTACGCGTACGAGTTAGTGGCGGCTTCATGCGGCGGTCGTCTTTCGGAGTTCTTTTTCATGGTGCAGCTGCGATGACCGATGCTGCCGTCGCTTATCTATTTCTCGCTATCATAAAGGCGGACTTGTGAAGCCCAGACTGTTCAAATGGCGAGATTTCAGATGCAGAACAACATGGTAAGTAGTTCTGTCAGTATGCTGACCGTACCACTTCGTTGCATAACTTCTAGGACCAGTGTTTAATCAGCGTCCAGGCCATCTTCGTGACTTTTCGCGTAGAAACTGTAAAACAAGCGAATAGCTACATATGCGCACTATGTCGACCTGACCAACACTAGCTGACACATGGAATCGAAAGTGTACAGGTAAGAGAAAGAAGAGTTCTTCGAGCGTTAATGGAAAGCAACAGGATAGGATTATAGAGGATGGGGATTATAAGAGACGAGTACAACTTTTTGGAGACTGTTGAATATGAGAAGGTGATGCACTATGCATTAGGAATGGAAAGTACAATGAAGAGAATCGTGAAAATTTCAAAAGCGTATGGAGGGGTGTGATTTTTGTCAAACATATAGATCGACAGCTCGGATGAAAGATAGTTATAGTATTGAATAAAAAAAAGCTTTGGGGGTGTGTCAAGATTTGTGCAAATTGGATAATTCAAGAAAACACTGTGGAAAAGAGGATTGACAAATATGATGTTTCTTGATTCTGTCTAGGATGCCCCAATTCAACGAAGTAACCCAATTTTACATCGAGACTGAAGATAAGCGAGATGTAATACGGAGCTTTATTTTTTCGGTGAGTAAAGGATAGATTAGTGTAGCGAAGATTAAGACAGGCATTAGCCGCACACTGTATTTATGTTTGGTAACATACCTTTGCCGTCCGTATACCACATCTGCTCGATCCGCTTTTAAGTACAACATCACGCCAGCACGGGTCATTGTTTCAACCAGGTTTATAACGGAAAGCGGTATTGGGAATCGGACCCTATTCATTGGCAGCATTGGCAAAGTAAGAACCAACAATAGTATATCGTAATCCACATTTTGGTGTTGTGGTGGTGTTGTAGAATATTGAATAAGATCATTGTTGAACGAGTGGTTTGGTAATGATGCGTTAGCATGCTATAATTACAGTTCGTTTTGACACGCACCTTGTATCCCATCATTAGATCAGGATACTGCAAACGAATGATATGAAATGAACAAAGTACCCTTTCCTTCATGATATTGATGTCCTATTTATTCAGTAACGGCGATCGGCACAACATTCCACAAGATTTTCCGCTTTCTGCATACCACTGCCGACAAGTAGGCTTATTTAATACTATCTGAAGGCAAGTAATCGTATACTGGAAGTCTGCACAACTGCTTACTCATATAAGGCTAAACTAAAACCAAATGGTCCATTCTGATTTGTTAAGGTATTAATCATTAACGCTTGTTTAACTGTAGCAAGTATCACAATAATTAACAAGATTATGTTTTCGACTTCATCTTGATGCAGATAATCACTAATGTTCGTTGTCGGCTTTGAGCAAATTATCGGCAAGGTGAATTGAGAGAGAAAAAATGGATGAGAGAGCATTTCAAAGGTAAAAAGACCAGATATATTGCATATGAGGAGTACGGACTGTGTTCAGATGCGTCTGGAGCATCGTGACGGATTGTGAGTTTTATTTCTTGCGAGTTTGTCTTTAATGAATGTAATGGCGCATGTGGACTAATATAAGGAATCTTTTTTGTGAAAAGCTATATACAATAACGCGTTTTAAATATTGTTAATCATTGTCATTTGACATTATACGCGTGGTACTGTCTTATGAATCTTTACTCAATGACATGCTGTAGTCAGGGTAAGTTGAAGACATACTCTATATGTCATTATCGTATCTAACTACTTTATGTATTCGATACCTTACTCTAATTTGCGCTTTTTTTTCTTGCTCGGCATTTTAACTGTACATTTTTGAAGATTGCAAAAAACGCTTCAGTAACATTGTATAATGTTACCATATGAAAGACCGGGACTATCACGTACAACGGTGCAAATGCATCCCGATGAAGGTGACGTAACGGCTATGTATGTGGATCACAGTTCCGTGCATGGCTAAAAGTTTTATCTTTTATGATAGCAAGCAAAGTCACAGAAATGTCATGAGATCAATCCGTTATATCATACAAAGCCACATGTACCCGTACACAGATGCCGATACGCTTGAGGAAACGAAACAAGCGATCCGACGCATGTTATGGAGAAATTTTCCTTTCTGAACGAAGAAGTGTAATAAAATGGTGGAAGCGGAAGAATCAATAGCTAATGTTTTAACACAAGAATTTGAGACCAGGAAGTTCACAAACAGAGACCAGAGCGTAATGTGTGAAAATATTATGATGTCAAAATTATGTCTTGGACGATGAGAAGATATTCCATACTCTTCCTGACGCTCGCAAGCGTAGTTTTCAATAAACCAATCGTGGTTATTGGGCGTATCAGTCTTAGGTCTCGGTAAGCTCCGTATGGTTATGTTTGACAACGGATCATTCTCTTCTTACAATTTCGTAATAATCACGAAACGACCGGCATGTCCTTGTTAGGCAACAGTTCAAATTCTCCAGATAGCCATTTCGGATATGATCCAAGATGCATTATACATTGTATGGGGACTAAGCACAACCGACTCGTTATTCTCGTCGGGGAATTAGTGTATTTAAGTTGTAAAAACTAAAATGGAATATTTTAGTGCAAAACAAATTAGTGTTGCGGAATTCAATGCGTCCAAACGTTCCATAATCCCCATTATTACTCTGGCAATACCGCACGAGTCTCGGCGTTAAGTGTCATATACCTATTCAAAAGTCGCGCTGTCCGTTTACCGACCCATGAGGACCTTAATACTTGAAGAGTGATACATCGTTCACGGAGATCATCCCTTCCCTTCCTTCTGCAGGCGGAGAGTCAAGGCATTTGGGCAGTTGTTAACATCCCATTATGCCTAACAGCATGTCCTTTGAGTTCAAGACACGTAGTCGTGGGTGTAAAGAAGACGCATTAACAGTCTACGGCTTGCAGTTGCTGACACCACTTTTAGACTATATTTGGCCAACTCAGGCACTAATTATTGCTTGCGTTGAACAATCGCATCAGAAAAGTACCTATAGCCTACCTTATAGAAAATATAACATGCCTGGACAATCCATTCCGCCTGCTATCACGATAGTTCATACCGCCATCCACCTCCACACCTATTATTACATTGTCTTCCCGTCTCTGGTTTCTACGCATGATCAGTATCTGAAATATAGTTCGTAAAGCATAATAATGTATCGGATCCCGTATATTCAACGTAAATTTACCCTCTGTATAACCACTCTTTTCATCGACCGAGCTAGTCCCAACTGCAGCGATATTCAATGTCCGTCTTGAATTATTAGTCGTATCATCTATAATATCATGATAATCTATCTCGCCGTAGTCTTCGATATGCGCGCCAAAAAGAAATCCAGCCGAATAAAAGTTTTATGAGCGTAATTGCTAATTGTTCCAAATAAACGTGGTTTCGTCACGTAAGGTTATTATTCTTGAGACGGTCTGGGTCATCGGAGAGGATGAAAATCCAGGCAAAAAAATCCAAATCATCATCTTAATCTGCTGTTTAAATGTATTGCCGTGGATTGAGACTGGATGTCTGGGTAAATGTCGAATTCTAAATCAAGTAAGAAATTGAAGCAAAGAGAGCTTTATGTGAATAAAGACATATTACTATTACGGACGATTTAGAATTTCTATTTCATAGTCTTACAGCTGTTATATTCGTATGGAACTGCGCATTCGGATTGTGGATCGCCATGAACAGATAATGATAGACCAAGGAATAATCTTCTACGATCCACGATGCGTGAACAAAACATTGGACGAGGAACCAAAACATGAATGTATGATAGTAAGGAACTCACAGTTAGCCATATAATTGTTGGATGTGGCGATAAAACCTGGGAGATCCCAAAAAATAGAAATGTCTGTGGGTAGCTTATAGTTCAATGAGGGCATCACGTGTCCGAACGTTACTGTATTTGTATTACACTTTGTTTACTTAATATTACTGTATTAATAAATGTTCGTATGATTTCTACAATGAATAAAATTATTAAATCCCACCAAACACAAGCTATTGTTATTATGATAATCTAATGTATAAACATAGTAATCATATTTGGGTTATTCATATTTATATCCATCATTATCCATATCAGTCATATCGTTATTCATATTTTCATCGGTCATATAATTATTTCGTATCATATGTATAAATTATTCGTATCAGATATATAAGTACTCGTATCATATATATAATTGCTCGCATCAATTGTTGTTGATGTCTGTCGTATTAAAGGCTATTTCTGTGGGTAGCCAAATCGATTGGGAAATCATAATCATATTAATCTCATGGGTAGATCATACCCTGTATGCAAGTCGGTATTGTCCTGTGCTGTAAGGGCATTGTCGGTAACGGTATTATCATTAGCGTTATCATAAGCTGTAAGGCCATTGTCGTATTCTGTAACGGCATTATCACCTGTGACGTTGTATGCGATGTTGTATTCCGACACGTTACCAGCTGATGTAGTACGAATGCGATTACGAAAAGCGAGTCGTTTTCTTCTTTTCTTCCCCGGTTTACACGTGCAGTTTTGCTTGCACGGCAAAAGCTGGTCATAAATATTTTTTGCGACTTTGCTAGTAAAGGTTCTTCAATGTTGCCCAAAGATGAAAAAAAAAAAACACTATTCCTTTCCCCTTCCTCAATAGCCGTGGGCTCGTATGCCGCTTGAAGAACTCATCCGCACCGAGGAAAACAAATTGGGCATTGTTAGAAATTTGGTCGGCTTCGTCAGGTTATCATCGGGCTGAAGACCAAAAAAAATGATCAGTAAAGAACGCTTTTGTTTCCGGGTCTTTTCGGCCTCCCATAGCCGACCCGCGATTGTGGACGTTGACGAGATCCACGG